CGGTGTGTGGGCTGTTGTGGTGGTGTGTGGTGGTGGTGGAACATGGTGGTGAGGTTGTCGTCCCTCGTTGTGGGGTCGTGGGCGTTCGTCGTCGAGAAAATCGCCATTGACATGGCACACCCAGATGGGGTGTGCCACGTCAGCCATTTGGTGGTGGCGCCGTTTGTTGGGCACCACCATTGTTGTTGTTGTTGTTGTTGTCAGAGTCATCATCTGTTGCGTGGTGGTCGTGGTGGTCGTGGTGGGCAACGTTGTGGGTGGTGAGGAAAGAGAGAGGTGACGTGACATGTCACATATGAGAACCATCATCAACAAACATGTGCTCATGGGTCATGTGACTCATCAAATACATCATTCCTGGGACTAGTCCTGTCTGAAAATCCTTAGGACTGTCTCCAGTCCTCAGGAATACACCCCCACAGGACTCAAAAAATTGGCTGGCACATCAGCCAATATAGAGTCCTGGTAATCCTCAGGAATCCTCAGGAATCCTGCAGGAATCAGTGGGGGACAATAAAGACCTCCATTGTGGTGTTGTGGAGAGCGAGGTCATGACAAAGAGTGACAACTTGCTGCAGAACAGTGTTCTGCAAGAAATTGAGCTGGCCACAAAGCTCAAGAGCTGTCCATTGCAGCTGGGCAATGGTGGAATGACATTTTGCCTGGTCTGGGCAAGGAGCTGCACCATGTGTCTTTTGCCATTGAATCCTGAAGTGGGCACATGCAGCGTGGTTTGCTGGGTCCAGAAAGCTGGGCATCAAGGAGAGTAGTGGTGAAGATGAGAGTGAGACAGATGTGAGACAAGGTGGTTTTTGACGAAAATCTGAAAATGGGTGATTGGGCTGTGGTTATAGTTGCAGTTGCAGTTATCTCACCAAAAGCAAAAACCTTGCCAATAGAAATGCCTATGGCAGTAATGGCGGTGGTGGTGGTGGATTCAAGTTGTCAGTTACCATATGCACAGGATGCATCCAAGCACATGTCCATGGGTCATGTGACTCATCACATGCATCAATCCTGGGACTAGTCCTGTCTGAAAATCCTCAGGACTGTCTTCAGTCCTCAGAAATGGACCCCCACAGGACTGAAAAAATTGGCTAGTACATCAGCCAATAATAAGTCCTGGGACTGTGCAGGAATCCTCAGGAATCTGTGGGGGACAATAAAGACCTCTGGAAAGGCTTTGTTTTCAATCAGTTACTGCAATTCTCAGATAGTCATCACAATCTTAACATGTATAAGATCTCACAGAGGTCAATTGTTACAAAAGTTCTTATAAAGCTATTTGAACAAGTTATTGACTTCTGTGAAGTAAGAGTTTATAATTGGATCTTCACTAATTTTTCAAAATCTTCCAACAGACATGATCAGGCCACAATGCTGTAGAGTGGTAGTCTCAGCAATGAATATGTCATATACATATGCCACAAGAGACTGAAACTGAAACTGAGTACATAGAATTTTTGCTTCTCCTTAGTATCTACATAACTCAATGATAGACATGTTAAAAAAACCATTGGTAGAGGAGATGTAGCAACCACTAAGAGGAATAGAGAGGGTGAACAAGAAGAAATAAAACAGATAAATACACATACAAAACTTGACAGTTTGCAAAGAAATAGGCTCATTGTAATCTGGATAGCTGTGTGTCTCTCTATATATTTTGAAGATGAATATTGAGTAAGTGGTAACAGCAAGAAAAAAAGCATACCCTCTAATAATGGGAGACTTGTATGACACCAAAGATTCTAATATAATAGAAAATAGAGTTGACTTGCCCACTATATCTTGGAAATAAGTGACCTGGTTAAATAATGTGAAGAAATACATACTTTCTAACAAAAAGAATGGTTGAAAGGGGAGCTGGAATCTGGAAACAGATCAAAGACATACAAGCTACAAAATATGAGCATT